TTAGGCCCCAGGGGACTTTTTCAATAAAACCCTAAATTTCATTTAAGTTGTTCGTAGGCCAAGTGATTGCAAGGACTCTGAGCCGAGGCAGCAGTGCCGGGCCGACCCAAGGCTCGCTCCTTACCGCCCCCTCCCCGCGCCGGCTTTGTGCAGCTGGGGTCCTGGAACCCGGTCCCTCCCGGGCTGTCGGCCCTGGGGTCTGGTGTCCGCCACCCTTCCGCCCCTCTGAGGTCGCCACTGCCCCCCTACCACACTCCCAGCCCTTCCGTTTCCTTCCACGTCCCCTTCCCGCGCCCTCCCCCACCTGAATTCTCCCTCCCCTCCGGCTGGAAGAAAAGTCGGTAATAAGAAACCAGTTCAGTGTCAGTCGGAGGAGGGGGGAAGATAACCCCAGAGATACACGGCAATGGAGAGAGAACTCATTTTGTGTAAAGAGGGCCTAGAGTCACCAGGGAATTCCTGGATTGTCTCAGGCTGTCGTGTGTGATGTCCATCACGCCGTGCGAACACCATCTGCTCGGTATTATGCTCTCAGTTGCCAGGCTACCTGCTGTACGCAGTAACACTTGACTGCCTGGCTCCACGTTCGCAGCGCTCGCCCAGACGCGCGGGGCGGGGGCTGCGGAGGGGCGGGCGGGAGCCCTGATTAAGCCATCTGCGAGGGGAGGGGCGCGGGCGCAGCGGCGGCCGGGCGCGAGGCCGGGCTGACACCACCATCTGCTGGGGCGCGGTAAGAACGGCAGCTGCTCCGCGTTCCCCCGGCGAGGGACGCCTGGAAAAGGCTGAAGCCCTGGGCGTTCTGAAGCCCGTTATCCACTGGGTCCCTGTCACCCCAGCCTCCTCGCCGCCGGCCGTCTTTGGTTCGCCGCCAGCAACGCTGGCCCCTCTCACCCAAACACTATGCATGTTCTTGAAAACACTTCAGAAAAATAAAGCTTCCCTACGCACAGATTTATAAATAAACAACTGGCTGTTCTTGGGAGATATTTTTACCACAACTGTTTTTTGAAGTCAAAAACTGCCTGTTTGGGGGAGGTAAGGGTGCTTTTGACACCTCCTACCTCACTCTAGCCTTTAGAATATTGCTAAGATCTTTTCCCTGGAGGGGAAGATATGTAAAATAGGTTCGTTGGTTTAGATTTCTGTCTCCTCTCTTTATTTTACTGAAGAGTGAGAGGGTTAGGCGAGTAATGAAGATCTATATAGCCAGTTGGATTTTTGAGGGGAAGAAACTGTATTAAGATTCTTGGGAGAAGCAAGGGAGGTCGTTGGGCAAGGAGTGGATTGGAGAACAAGCCAGTAATTACAACTAAAAATACAGCATCATTTGGCTTCAAGGCATTACATTTCGCATGACGAAAGCTCAGCCTGGTTTTCTCTAATTGCACAACACAGTGTGTGTCCTTCTTAGAAACAAGAGCAGTGGCTTGAAATCCTGAAATCTGACAGACTATTTCTCATTAAGCCCTCTTAGACTGGAGGTTAAAAGAAGCCATGTATTATGAAACAGTTAGTGGCCTCGGCCAGCTTAATGTGTAAGGCAAGTCACTGAGTACATCGTCACACTTTGCAATACACCTCAGAGTCTGGGGCTGTAGGCGTCTCTCATCCACTGTTGAATGCCGCAGAGCTTGTTGGGAAAGTACTAAAGATGTTTCATAGGGAAGGCAGTCCTTTAAGAATGTACATAGTGGCTGGGAGCAGTGGCTCATGCTTGTAATCCCAACATTTTGGGAGGCCAAGGCAAGAGGATTGTTTGAGGGCAGGAGTTCAAGACCAGCCTGGGCAACACAGTAAAACCCCCATCTATACAAAGAATTTAAAAATTAGCAGGGCATGGTGGCGTACACCTGTAGTCCCCCCACCTACTCAGGAGGCTGAAGCAGGAAGATTGCTTGAGCCCAGGGGTTGGAGGTTGCAGTGAGCTGTGATCATACCACTGCACCCTAGCCTAGGCAACAGAGTGAAACCCTGTCTCTTAAAAAATAATAATAATATAATACATACAGCCCTTTCTGCCTGTAGGTCTTCAGTGAGAAGCCTGAAGGCAAAACCTCTGGGAGGGAATTATTTGGGGAAATACATAATCCTGGGAAGTAATAACATGACTATCCCTTTGGGAGGGTTTTTTTCCACACTGTGCTTTTGAAGTATTTTTTTTTTGGCCCAGGAAGACAGGGGCAAAAAGCGGTTTGATGTATCATCATCACCCCATTTGCCTCTCTCTTTCTTTTCCCAGTGGAGAGGAGGCTGGGAAAGCAACACTTCTTCACTCCTTACCACTTCCCCAGCTGTGCGGGCTGGTCACACAGGACAAGCATATCTCAAAGTGCACAAAGATAAACAGGGTCATCCCAGACCAACCCTCTCAAAAACTCAAGCTGAAGAAAACTTTATCTTCCCTTGGGCCTCATTTTCTTTCCAACTCTCTCCTTCTTATCAAAACTGGAAAGTATCAAATATACTGAGACAGAAAAAACAAACTACATATCTGCATTTTTGCTGATTGACTGTTTATATGTCAGTGTGAATTCATTTGTTAAAGTGTAAAGCCAATCAGCCATTTGTCCCTAAAGGTGCCAAGAAACAGCTTTATTTCACTGCAAGGAAGGGCTTGGAAAACAGGTAGCAAATACTTGGGGGGAAAGGGAAGATCCTGAAATATCTAGGCCCCTGCAAGAGTTAGTCCTGAAGTAAACTTTTTGGGAGCACAAAGGTTCCTGGTATTTTTTAGTATAAGATCTTTTTGTTAACATCAAAAATATTTCCTAGCTATCTTTGTGTATTTATAGAGAAAATACACAAAGACACAACGTTTTATTAATTTCAGCTACAGCATTTACACATAAAAAATAGAACACAGTACACTTATGAGAGACACACTATATAGGTCTACAGGCTGTTCTTAGGTGCACACTTAACACCATGAAGACACTGCCTGGGAGAGGCCTGAGCTAGTAAGAGTACTGAATTGAGAATCAAAATTACCGTTCTGCTTACTGATGTAACCAAATACCACCTGTATGTGCCCCGATAACTAATGAAATAATTTTTTTTAATTTAAGTTTAATTTTTTTAAAAAGTAAAGACAGGCTATCTGTTAAAAAAAAAAAAAAAATAGCGTTCTAGTTCTGCTAGTTCTGTGTCTTCCATTCATTCATTGTGTGACCTAGGCTACTGCATGAACAAACCAGAGCTTCTTGGGCAAGTGTTTCTAGGGTAAGAGGAGTAGCGTTTTGGTTTGGTTTGGTTTGGTTTTTGTTTGTTTTGCTTTTTTGTTTTGTTTGGAGGGAAGAAGAGCAACTGAAGAGGCAGTTGAGGTCAGTCATAGTAGAGAGGGCAGCCTGCATGGTTCTACAGCACACCACGGGAGGAAGGGAGGAACACAAGCCCAAGCCATAGGGAGTCAAATCCAGGACTGTCTCTCTAGGAGAGACAGAGACAAACTTCACCTATTTGCTTTGAGAAAAAACTGCCAACATGTTTAATGGTATCTGCGTTGGAAAGGCAGTAAAGTAAAAAGAAGAAAAATATTAAAATCCAGGTTGGATTTAAAAATTTTTAAATGATAGAGTTATTCACATTTGCTTCTTACTATTTAGGTCTCATAATAGTGCTTCACAAAATGACTGTGAATGTCCTTATATGTGTGCCCATTTAATCTGTGTCAACTCCTCCATGTTCACATTAATTACTTGAAACTTTAATGAGGTAGAAGGAATTTCTGCAGAATGTTCAGACAGTACTTGCCACTGCTAGGCAGACTTGGTAGAAAAAATAGGAAAGGAAGTGTCTAGAAATTGAATCTTTGGGCCACACACCTATTCTTCCCATTCACTGTTTTCCCCTAATAGTCCACACTGTCCAGCTTAGAGCATAAACTTCGCCTCTGAGCACATTCTCCATGTAGTCACCTGGGCTTGACCTCCTCTTCCCTAAGGACCAGTCCTTAAAAGTTGCCATCATTCGACTGGCTGACATATAATTATAGTATCAAGAGACCCAATCCAACACCCCATGTTTAAATTATCCCAGACATAGAAGATTCAATTCTATTTTTTTTTTTTTTTTTAGACAGAGTCTCATTCTGTCGCCCAGGCTGGAATGCAGTGGTGCGATCTCGGCTCACTGCAACCTCCGCCTCCCGGGTTCAAGCAATTCTCTGCCTTAGCTTCCTAAATAGCTGGGATTACAGGTGGCCGCCACCACGCCCAGCTAATTTTTTTTTTTTTTTTAGTAGAGACAGGGTTCCACCATCTTGGCCAAGCTAGTCTCGAACTGACCTCATGATCCACCCAAAGTACTGGGATTCCCAAAGTACTGGGATTACAGGCACGAGCCACGGCGCCTGGCCGACTCAATTCTATTTTTAAAGATATTAGGAGATTACATAGCTTTGGTTAGTGTAAAACATTCACAGTTCTCACCATCAACAACTCTGGCCAGCAGGATTTTTCTTTTTGACATATATATAGCTCTCAAATGTTGCAACTCGTTAGAATTCCATCAAATATCAGATCTGTTGATTAACAAATTCCTGCAGTTTTCTGCAAATGTCCCTCCTACTTGCGAAGAAGACGTCCATTTTGGCCAAGTAAACAGTAAGAAATAAGGATTAACAGGTGAGGTCAGGATGTCTCTCGTGTTCCAGACTTTAGGTGAGCTCAGCCTGAGGGCTTATTCCCTTTCCTTGGAGGAACACAGGATGTTAGTTGAAAATCCTGTCCATATGCAATAGTCAGTCCCATCCGAAACAGACTGGACTTGGGCTTGGATTTCCCAGAGCCATACTCTCTTACTGTCCCTTGTGGCCTCTCATTCTACTCAGGTAAGGTCGGGTTTGAGGCTACTTTTATGGAAATGCAATGCGTGCCACTCAAAATGCCTCCAGTCCATAAGCTGAGACTTCCGCCCCATTCCCTTTTTCCAGGGGCTTCCCTTCAAATGGCAGTGAGTCTCCATGGAGAATCCCTTCATGTCTGTCTCTCTTGTCCTCCCAGGAGCAGCATCCAGTTGGACTTCCCCGAACCACAGGCCCCATGCAGTCCTCCATGCCCCCAGGCTCAGGTGGCATGGTCTCAGGAGCCAGTCCTGCAGGCCCTGGCTTCCTGGGCAGCCAGCCCCAAGCAGCCATCATGAAGCAGATGCTCATTGATCAGCGGGCCCAGTTGATGGAGCAGCAGAAGCAACAGTTCCTGCGGGAGCAAAGGCAGCAGCAGCAGCAGCAGCAGCAGCAGATTTTGGCGGAACAGGTAACATGCGCCCTGGCATGATTCATTCATTCAGCAAGCACTTATTCAGCACCTGCCTGCTGCCTGTGAGGAAGTCGCAGTTCACATCCTCTGTCAAGATGCTCACGGTCTAGCATTTCCCAGGATCACAGGAGAACCTGAAGAATTTAGACCTTTCAATTAGTTAGGGTTTTTCCTATAATGAATTAATTTGTTCTTAAAAGACAGGCTCCAGCCATCAATTTGAAGGCCTGTGTGTCAGAGACATTTCTTTGATTCAAGCCTGGCTCCTTTTCTTCTGATTTCTGGTACAGGGGTCTGTGTAATCAGCACATGGCGGGGACTGTCTCACATGCTCCATAAGCCGTATTATTTCTAGCATGAAGGAAAAAATAATAATTCAGAGAACTCTGTTTCTTAGAGGAAATTGACAGGAGGAAGGATTGAGGAGAATTCTATAGAATGGGTCATGAACAATGGATCGGGAACAATAGCAGAACAATAAGGCCTGCAGAAGTACCTGGAAACCTGAACTCTGGGTCACAGACAGGGTGCAAACTTAAGAAAACTCCCCACAGCTTTTAAAACAGCTCAGGAAATCTGTGAGTTAAAGGAAAGCCTAACACAAATACAGCTTTACCTTAGGCATCTTTGTCCACCCTCGCCCTACAATTCCTCAGCTTTGAGAGAAAGCCTTCCCTGCAGACTGATCCTGTAGGTTTCCATTTGTTTTGTTTTTAGAGATGCCCATACCTGACTTAGCATTATCCTAGGGAAAGGCCTGAGGCTGTCCACAAGAGATCCCCAGGTGGCTTCTGTGGGGGTCTGCACAGAGAATCTTGCACAGCAGGCTCTTTCTTATAGGAGGTGTAAGGTTGTCATATAAAGCTGAAGGCCCAACATAGGTCTGCCTCACAGTTATCCTTCTAGAATGTTCCTGATAGGGTCAGAATTTTGTAAATTTTTTCTTAAAGAAATAGAGATGGGGGGGGGTCTCACTATGTTGACCAGGCTGGTCTCGAACTCCTGGCCTCAAGCGATCCTCCCATCTCAGCCTCCCAAAGTGCTAGGATTACAGGCGTGAGCCACCGTGCCCTGCCAGAATTTTGCAAATGTACTAAGCATCCACCACCGCGTATCCTGTGTAGGACACGGGCCCATTGAGGTCCCTACTAACCAAGAACAGCAGTTCAAAGTAACACCAGGCATCCCTCAAGGAGAAAAATTGTACTGCTGAGCACAGTTCACTTACGTTCTTTTTTTTTTTTCTTTGCTTTTGTTCCTGAACAGCTGTGTAATTATCTCCCTTTTTACCAAGGTCGGTCCGCCGCCTGGCAGCTATTGTACAAACAAACCTCTATCCCTCTCACCTACATAAGGTGTGCGACAAGGAGCCATGCTAATCTCTCAGGCAGTGATAAATGGAGCTGCCGAGGGCAGCTGGGCTCTGTAAATCCTCTCCTCAGCCAATCCCAGGAAATCTCAGGTGTGCCTGATGTTTTGAGTGATGGCTTTTGATATGTGTGCTGTGACCAAAGACACAAAGAGGGCCCAGGGCAAGCAGGCAGAGCTCAGCTGTGCGGCCCAGGGGTGTTCCCACACAGCGAGGCCAGCCCCACCCTGGGGAGCACAGGGCGTGGGAAGAGTGTGAGAAGAGACCCGTCAAGACGATGCCCCCAGACAAGGAGGTGAGAGGTCAGGGGAGATCCCTCAGAATCCAGAGCACGGAGAGAGCTGGGGCTTCTTGGGAAAGACAAGGGAAATGGGAGGCTGTGACCTGCGGATCATTCCGTAGCAACTGTGTGTACTAAAAGATGATGAGGGATGAGGGGAGGGTCACTTTCCTCAGCGCCAGGATTTGCCCATTGTTTTGCATGTGATGTGATTTTGGAAAAAACACTGAACTTCCCTCTTCATCTGCCAGATTAGGTTTTAATAATTTCCTAGCCTTCCTCATGTATCTGCTTTAAGGATCACATAAGATCATGTGTGTAAAATGTTTTGGAAGCTGTGTGTGCTGCACACATGTATGTGGGGGCCTGTCACATGGCCCTGGTGTCAGGGAATGTCTTGTGAGAGCTGTAGCACATGGCCCAGCCAGGTCAGTGGAGCATCTTGTCTGCACCTGAGGAGGATGCAGATTTAGTGCAGATTGTCCAAGTGCAAGTCTACAAGGAGTAAGTGCTCAACTTTTTTTTTTTTTCTTTTTTTTTTGAGACAGAGTCTTGCTTTGTCACCCAGGCTGGAGTGCAGTGGCGTGATCTCGGCTCACTGCAACCTCTGCCTCATGAGCTCAAGCAATCTTCCCACCTCAGCCTCCAGAGTAGCTGGGACCACAGGCAAACACCATCACACCTGGCTAACTTTTGTATTTTTAGTAGAGATGGGGTTTCACCATGTTGGCCAGGCTGGTCTCGAACTCCTGGGCTCAAGTAATCTGCCTGCCTCGGCCTCCCAAAGTGCTGGGCTTACAGGTGTGAGCCACAGCACCCGGCCAGCTCTCAGTTTTTCGTTTTGAGAGTGAATATTGCCAGATCAACACCAATCTTAGTTGCTGCAGCATTGAAAGTGTCCTCACACTTTGGATTTTGGAAACAGATTTTGGGTTTCCTGAAAGGACATGTGAGGGAAAACAGAAGGATTTGGGATCTTACATATTTTAGGAAACTTTAAAATGATTCTCAGTAGACTTGGCAATCAGAGCAGAGCAGGTTGAAAGTAGGCATGAATTCACATTTAATGCCATATTCTCAAAAAGTGCAAAGCACATCACCTCTCATCCATTCACAAAGGTTAGACAAAACTTAGAAACATTCTACATCATGAAGTCCCATCATTTTACAAATGAGGAACTGAGGTTATGTGAGGAAACTGAGCTTATGTGATTTCTATGAGATCACAGAGCTAGAGAGAGACAGAGCCAGGATGGAACTGACGACTCCTGATTCCTGACTCCAGGATACACCCTCAGTCCCCCACAGGCTGCCAGGGGCTCATTCCTAGTCGCAAGTAGGACAATTAAATTCTTATATAATATGGGAAGTTTGACTGAGGAGAAGCTGTTAAATGCTCAGCTTACACTCAGTAATGCCCTTCTGTTGCTGCCTAAAAGATTTGCGTGGTTTCTTGTCTACACATTATTGGTCTACACAATCAATTAATTTCAACAGTTTTCTGTAGAACATTATGGTAGGGACCACGGGATGGGGTCAACAAGTCAGAGGCTGTTTTTTTCTTTGGTTGCCAGAATACTGGCTGGCCTTGTAGAGAAGAGAAAAAGAAAAGAAAAGAAAATTATAGAGCAGCCCAGGAACAAACACAAGAGAAAAAATTGAAATAAACACATGCGTTAAGAGGTGGTCAGTGTGTGTTATTTTTATAATGAACACTAAAGAACAGGGACCTTGTTGTATGTTCTTTATAGCCCTTGCAGATGAAAGGTACTTAATGAATATTCAGCAGCTGCAGGGAGCAGGTTAAACAACATCCCGAAGGTCATGCAAACTACTTGACGGCAGACCTAGAACTAAAACCTCTTTCTCTGCTCTTTCTACATCACTCTTATTTTCTTTCCCTTTGCACATACAATGTGATAATGATAATAGCCTTCCCAGCATATTGGTAGCAACACTAGCAGTGCAGCATCCCCGTGAGTGGAAGAAGAAAGATGAAAATGCAGGCCTCCTGGCTTGCTGGTATATGTGGAATCCCACGTGGTTTCCTCAAAGCGGTAAATGCTGAATAGTTTACTTGTAGAGATGTATTTTACAGGCAGTGTGGCTTCATGGGAATAAGATTAGCCTTTTTTGTATAACCCCTGAGGATCTCATCTTCCTATGCCCAAAGCATCCACTTAGGTCATTAAAAAGCAGTTGCTTGTCCCTTTGAGCTCAGTCCCCACAGCGCTAAGGAAAGCATGCAGGCTGATGTTGAGCAGTCCACGTCAAAACCCCTTCCCTCAGCACGCATTCTTCATGAGCCAGCAAGTCCACATATCAGAAATACGTGCAGATGTTCACCAAAGGCATGTACAGGAATGTTCATAGCAATCACATTCGAAACACAAAAACTAGAAACACCAAAGGTGACATCACTAGTAGAATGGGTAAATAAATTACAGTATTCCATTATATTCATATGATGGAATACTATCCAACAGTGAGAATGAACAAGCAACAAGAATTCACATCCACATGGATGAATCTCACAAATACTGTGGTGGATGCAAGAAGCCAGATAAAAAAGCAGCATCATGTGAATCATTTTCTGCAAAGTACAAAAGCAGACATAACTGCTGTATGTTGTTAAAAGTTAGGACAGTGATGCCCATGGGTCAAGGGAGGGCGATGACTGGAAGGGGCACGAGGGGCTCCTGGCAGCGTTCTGTTACTTGATGGAGGGTCTGGTGGCCCTGAGTGTGTTCATTTTGTGAAAACCTACCTGATTGTATCCTTAGGCTTTGTGCTCTTGCCTATAGGCATATGATTCTTCAACACAAAGTTTAGTTTTGGGGAAAACCCTACCTTCCTCAGAACTGCTAGGATATTGAATTGTGTGCTTGCTCCCTATCTCACCTCTCCACCCCTCTTGTGTTCTGTCGTTCTAGCAATTGCAGCAATCACATCTACCCCGGCAGCACCTCCAGCCACAGCGGAATCCATACCCGGTGCAGCAGGTCAATCAGTTTCAAGGTGAGGCCAGTGCAACCTCTCTCATTTTATACCTTCTAGTGGTGAAGCATAAGTGAATGTGTAGCCAGAGTCATTGCCTTACATGCTGTATTTGTGTCCAGGAAATACTTAAACTATTTAACTACTGGTAGGTTAAGAGTACTAACCAATCAGAATGGATTCCTAGAGGCCTCCTGTTGTGCCAGGCATTAACCTTTTGGTCACTGAGTCACAGAGGGGTTCTAGAAAGCACAGGGAAGGGTCAGGGTAGCTGTGGGAGTTGGGACTAGAACAGCTGTTCTTTACCAAAGGTACGTAGTATTGCAATAGATTAACAACCAGTAAAGATATACTGGTGCCTGTTGGCTCCATATCAACTTTGTTTATGTTTAGATCGTCATCTTAGTGACTACAGAGGCAAAAATCTTGTGCCACATCTTTTTTGCTATGCCAGCAGGTCACCTGACCAAAGCCCTTACCTCTATAGCTGAAATGGAAGAATCTGGCTTGCAACAACCACTAGTCTCTGCTGAATGTAGAAGACAAATAGGGCCTTGAGGCTGATTGAACTGACCCTGTAGCCATTTGTGGGAATCCTAAATGATGACCCAGTAGCAACGGGTGCACTGTATGTTAGTGTTGCACTCCTTTATAAATGTGGAAGGCCCACTCAAATATCAAACCCTTCCATCTCCAACAGAGAGATCCCTTGACTGTGTGCGGTGGCTCATGCCTATAATCCTAGCACTTTGGGAGGCTGAGGCGGATGGATCACTTGAGACCAGGAGTTCAAGACCAGCCTGGCCAACATAGCAAAACCCTGTCTCTACTAAAAATGCAAAAAATTAGCCGGGAGTGGTGGTGCATGCCTGTAATCCCAGTTACTCAGGAGACTGAGGCACAAGAATCGCTTGAACCCGGGAAGTGGAGGTTGCAGTGAACCGAGATCGCACCACTTCACTCCAGCCTGGGCAACACAGCGGGACTCTGTCTCCAAAAAAAAAAAGACACTTGGGGGTCTTATATGGGGTGAAGAAAATAGCCTGAGGAGCCTTTCTAATCTTATCCACAGGAGTTTTCAGGGCGCTACAGGGTTCACCTAGCAGCAGAAATCCTAATCCCATCCTCTGCCCATTTTGTGGGATCCACATCAATGGGTCCTAGCTTCTCAAAAGTTACCTATTCCTTTAAGAGTCTGCAAAAAGCTATGAAGTCTCTTGCACAAAAATGTATAATATGTAAATATATATAAACTTTTATATAATTTCACAAGTATCCCTGAACTTTATCAATAGACTGGGTGAAAAATTTCTGATCTAAGGTAGCATTTTTAAGTCTTCAGATTGCAAAACACAAGGTTATTGAAAACAACTTAGTGGGTCACAACCAACATTTTTAAAATGAAATACAACAGAACTTATCAGAGCATATCAGAAACTTTTCTTTCTGTTTTAAACCCACATGTATATATCTTGGATCATGAACTGTGAGTTGTAGTTTACAGTCTGAAAGCCATTGATATTTACTGACAGACCACATTGAAGATCACCTGTAAAAATACTGGGGCTTGAGAAGCTACCACTCCCTTTCACCTCTGAGATGCTTATATCATGTTAGATCCTTTGGCCTTGACACATTTGGCCTTGACACAGGCAAGGACAAAAGGAATTGAGTTATCCACAGGTGTTCTGTGCCCTAAATCAGTGCCAGGGGTTTTTGAAGAATTATGTTTCTAATTTTGCCATGGGTAGGGAAGAGTGGGGACTAGTCATCATTACATATAGTTGTTGTTGCACATACAGAGCCCTCCTTTATATCTATAGTTCTCAACCTTTAGCCTGCGCTGAAAGCACCAACAAAGCTTGTTAAAACACACACAGTGTTTCTGATTCAGTATATCTGGAGCAGGGCCTGAAAATCTGCATTTCTTACAAGTTCCCAGGAGTCACTGATTTTGCTAGCTAGGGAACCACGCTTGAGAGCTGCTGCATTATATTATGAACGAATTAAAAACATAAAAGCTGATAAACCCAGCATAACGTCTCTTGAGTTTTCCAGGTTCATAACTCATGTATTATTTGTGGGGAAAAGGGGCCACCACAATTTAATAATTGCCCTGTGTTGCAGAACATAGACACATACTTATATGAGCTATTTGGGATGTTTTGGGTCCAGTTAAAAAGTTCTATTCCAGGCGGGCATGGTGGCTCATGCCTGTAATCCCAGCACTTTGGGAGGCCGAGGCAGGCGGGTCACCTGAGGTCAGGAGTTCGAGACCAGCCTGACCAACATGGAGAAACCCTGTCTCTACTAAAAACACAAAAAATTAGCCGGGCGTAGTGGTGCATGCCTGTAATCCCAGCTACTCCAGAGACTGGGGCAGGAGAATTGCTTGAACTCAGGAGGCAGAGGGTGCGGTGAGCCAAGATTGTGCCACTGCACTCCAGCCTGGGCAACAGGAGCAAAACTCTGTCTCAGAAAAAAGAAACAAAAAAAAACCACAGAGACAAAAATTAAAGTCACCTGAAATCCCACCCTCCAGAGATGATCAATCCTATTATTTTATTTCTATATAAATAGACACCCGCAAAAACTGGGATCATACTGTACATGTGTTTTTGTAGCTGACTTTGCCACTTAACAGATCCTGATGTTATTCTTGTTTATACTTCAGAAGCAAATTATTTTGCACTCATATAGAGACGATGTGTCATCCTCAACCAATAAGATACTATTTTCTTTGGAGGTGAGAGAGAATTCACCTTTGGGGCTAAATTAGAAAGAAATGGCTGATCACTTTGCATTTTCTATTCGTGACGTGGAACATGGTTCAGTAGAGAATATTGTCAATAAAGCCAGTGTGACATTTTAGGGTCCTTGAGCTGATTGGTTTGAGATATATAATTTATTTTACTATCTTCAGTATTTTCATGTGTTTACAGACACCCTAGATGGCATGATGTTATGCATCTGGGAAAATAGCAAACTGAAAAATAAGAAATATCATTCTTGGAGAGAAGTTTTGTTAGGTACAACTTGCATGAGAACCTATCCCATACTCTCACCATTATACATTTCAAAGGCCTTAATGACTGTCTTTCCCTCATTAGGTTCTGGACCTCTGAGCAATGTTACATGACTATGGGGAAATGCTTATTTTTTTCACAAATACAGGCTTATTGTGAGTGAAAATAGAACATAGACTTTTTAAGCAAAAAGTTGGATACTATCATCTCTCTTTGAATATACAAGATTTTCTTGGACATTGTGATGTTAACCAGCAGACAAGAAAATTAGACTACAGTGTCTCACAATAATATGTGTTTTAGACCAAAAAAAGAAAAAGAAAACATAATTTGTGGTTTAACACATGTAGTAATCAGGTAAAGACAAGCTAATTCCTTGGACACATCTGAATTTTTTTCCTTTGTATATTTAAAATCACGGAAGGCATAAAACTAGATTAATAAAAGTCTTTTTATTTCTCTTAAGTGAAAAATAATGTGGTGATTGCTGATTTTAAAATGCCTTTTAAAAATAAGAATTACATCAAGATAGTGCAGTCATTTACACTAAATAAAAATAAAGATTGGCTTGGATTAATGTATCACTGCCTATTAAAAGGTATTGTAACATTTCTGCCCTCTAAAGAAAGGAACCTATTTCTCATTCACAAAATTATTCCAGACAGTATCCAGTCCTTTAACATATCCATTATAAATATACCCCAAAATGGCCAAATTATAGATGTCCTTTCATCTATTTCTAGCAGCCCCTCAGACTGTTTATATAATTTGGGTCTACCCAGTCAATCTCTGACTCAGCAATATTTTTCCCTTAAATTTTTTTTTATAAATAACACAATAACCCATTTCACCACAGTTGATCTTATTGGCCATGGAGTCAATAAAAATTTAGTCGTTAAGGTCTCAAAACTTCATGACAAGATTACAAGTTGCAGTATATACTACCTTTGAGTGTTTTCCTAGGAACTTTTGATTTTTCAAAAAATCACTTAGATATAATGAAGCTTAAAACAAAATATGAAAACATTTGTGGGGATTTCCCCCAGATCTTTCAGGTTTCCTGATAGAAACCATTTCATTTTTCAATGCAGTATGATATTGATCTCAAGCCACAAAAACTTGAGACATAATCAAAATTCCCGTAATTTTCTTTCTTAAAGAAAGGAAGAAAATATGGAGACATATTTTCAGCCCCAAAATCAATAGCCACATCAGGAAGACAAAAACATGCTTCAGTTATCTGCCAGGGTGCCAGGTTTAACAAGGTTAGACTATTCTCTTCTGGTTTCTCATCACAGTTCCAGGTGGGATTAAATTTGCTTAGAATATTGATTGGGTCCCATGCTGCATCTTCTTCAAATGTCCAGGAAAAAAACTATTTTTCTTCTTCTTATAGACTCAGTCATTAGCAGGAACATAGAAAAATCCATTTTTGTGCACCTCCTAGCCCTTTGCAACATTGACTGGTGTTCTACCGGTGACATTTCCATTCTCTTGGCTGTTTGGAAATTTCCTGGTAACATGTAAAGAATGACTCACTCAAATGCCTAATTAAGGTTGAATGACTTGGTGTGGACACTCTGGCCACCTTTTAAACAGCATTATTAAAACTGTGTTAACAATTTGCTGAGAGAAATAGTCGTTGCCGATTTGAAGGAATGGACTTTGCTGTAGAAATGCATAGTTGGGTGCAGCACACCAACATGGCACAAGTATACATATGTAACAAACCTGCACGTTATGCACATGTACCCTAGAACTTAAAAGTATAATTTTTTAAAAAATTTAAAAAAAAAAAAAAAGAAATGCATAGAGTTTATGGCCAAGTCGCACGTAGCAGGATGATTTCTTTTTCTAGCTCAGGAAGCTGGCCAGTTTGCAATGACATGTTATGATTCAGAGAATCTGGAGCATGTTGAAATCTACAGAGTGGATCCAAAAAATGTCCTATCTGTCAAAATAGCTGCTTAGCAGAAGCAATGGCCTTTAACCTCTCAAATCCTACTCAAGTCTTAAGGGAAATTAGTCTAATGGTCTTTATTGATAGTATTCTCTACTGAACCATGTTCCACTGTACGAATAGAAAATACAAAGTGATCAGCCATTTCTTTCTAATTTAGCCCCAGAGGTGAATTCTCTCTCACCACCAAAGAAAATAGTATCTTATTGGTTGAGGATGATGTCATACCTATAAGAGTACAAAATAATTTGCTTCTGAAGTATAAACAAGAATAACATCAGGATCTGTTCAGTGGACAAGTCAGCTACAAAAACACATGCACAGTACGATCCCAATTTTTGTGGGTGTCTATTTATATACAAATAAAAGAATAGGAATGATCATCTCTGAATAGTGGGATTTCAGGTAACTTTAATTTTTGTCTCTATGTTTCTTAATACTTCCAAATTTTTCACAATCAGCATGTTATAATCAGAAAAATAATCATTTTTATTAGAGATTTATTATCAGAGTAGATCTTTTCTTTTTTTTTTTTTTTTTTTGTTTTTTGTTTTTTGTTTTTCTTTAGATCCTTTCATATAAAGGAATTTTGTCATTCCCAAAGAAAATTCCAACATCTTGTTGCAGTATATTGCTTATGGAGAAGAGTGAGTGGTATGTGTCCTCTTTTTCACTGCAGGTTCTCCCCAGGATATAGCAGCCGTAAGAAGCCAAGCAGCCCTCCAGAGCATGCGAACGTCACGGCTGATGGCACAGAACGCAGGCATGATGGGAATAGGACCCTCCCAGAACCCTGGGACGATGGCCACTGCAGCTGCGCAGTCAGAGATGGGACTGGCCCCTTACAGCACCACGCCTACCAGCCAACCAGGAATGTACAGTATGAGCACAGGCATGACCCAAATGTTGCAGCACCCAAACCAAAGTGGCATGAGCATCACACATAATCAAGCCCAGGGACCGAGGCAACCTGCCTCTGGGCAGGGGGTTGGAATGGTGAGTGGCTTTGGTCAGAGCATGCTGGTGAACTCAGCCATTACCCAGCAACATCCACAGATGAAAGGGCCAGTAGGCCAGGCCTTGCCTAGGCCCCAAGCCCCTCCAAGGCTGCAGAGCCTTATGGGAACAGTCCAGCAAGGAGCACAAAGCTGGCAACAGAGGAGCTTGCAGGGCATGCCTGGGAGGACTAGTGGAGACTTGGGACCATTCAACAATGGCGCCAGCTACCCTCTTCAAGCTGGGCAGCCGAGACTGACCAAGCAGCACTTTCCACAGGGACTGAGCCAGTCAGTCGTGGATGCTAACACGGGCACAGTGAGGACCCTCAACCCAGCTGCCATGAGTCGGCAGATGATGCCATCGCTCCCGGGGCAGCAAGGCACCAGCCAGGGGAGGCCAATGGTCATGTCTGGCCTGAGCCAGGGAGTTCCGGGCATGCCAGCATTCAGCCAGCCCCCAGCACAGCAGCAGATACCCAGTGGCAGCTTTGCTCCAAGCAGCCAGAGCCAAGCCTATGAGCGGAATGCCCCTCAGGACGTGTCATACAATTACAGTGGTGACGGAGCTGGGGCTTCCTTCCCTGGCCTCCCGGATGGTGCAGATCTTGTGGACTCCATCATCAAAGGTGGGCCAGGGGACGAGTGGATGCAGGAGCTTGATGAATTGTTTGGTAACCCCTAGTCAAGAGAGGCCCCAAGAGCCATGACTCGAGTGGTTAAAGCTTAAAAAGTGAAAAAGAAACAGGATGTTGACCCATCCTTGTTTTTTGTTTTTTTGACCCACGTAAACTGAGCAAAACTGCAGCTGGCTGACAGTGGAAGATCCAGGTGCCAATCCACAGCCCCGCCGGGCCTCATTTCACCTGATTTTCACACAGCAATCGAGATGAGACGCCACGCAGATCCCTGCTGCGAGAGAGGGAGACACCCAGAGGAGCAGGTGGGAAGACAAAGCCAGCCAGAGCCCCTCTGCTCAGCCTCAGCGTGCCCTGTGATCGCCTGGCCCAGCAGGAGCTACTTCAGCCAAGAGGGACTGTTACCCAAGAGAGGTATCCTCAGACCCTCCTGCCCCAGGTCGGGAGACAGCAGCTTTGGAGACACAAAAGAGACAGAGCCTCGGCCAGAGAGAGTCCCCCAGAAGAGGCTGGGTGGTTGCACAGGCCAGGTGCACAGGTTGGAAATGCACTGAACTCTGGGTGCCAAGAGATGTAAGGCTTCGAGACATGCTACTGAATTTGGAGGGCAGGCACGAAGAACAGCGAGATAGTCACAGGGAGACAACAACAGATCCTACAGGCCTGTCTGTCTCCTGCCCCATGATGACCCTCAGGAATTGCAGAGGCTCCGCTGTCACAAGGAGAGCAGGCTGAGTTTGGAGCACGGTCCATCCAGCAGTCCTGGGGCATCTGCCCTCTGCTGGTGCCCCTGGTGGCAGTCCCTCCAGGTAGGGCTGGAGCCCGCTGACGCCCAATACAAAACATCCAGGTGGGTCACATCTACTTCTGGCGGCCGCAGGGCAGAGAAACCCCTACTGGACGCTGTGTGTCTGCCAGCCTGGAGCCTTTGTCTCCAGCCCTGCCTTTATTCCTCCTTGCCTCCACACCGGCCTCCCCTCGCTTCTCCTTACAGACTATCCAAGAAGTGAAGCTTATGTCTTTAGGGAGCCTTGGGCAGAGTCCACATAAATGCAGGAAGAACTTAAGACAATGCCTGAAATGCAAAGGCAACACTGGAGTCTTCTTTCTCTAACATGTGTAGAGTTGAATGAATATCTCTGCCTGGAACTGAGAGGGCTGCTCTGATGTTTGGGCATCGGTTTTTGTGAGCCACATCTGATATGTCTGATATCCCCGGGAAGGAGTGGCCTGGAGGTCACTGGTTCAGGCTCCCTTTGGGCGAAATCCCGGGAGTGATGCTCTAAAATCCACCTTTCCCATCATCCCTACTCATCGGAAAGATAAATATAAAATCCCTGAGAGGTGGAGGAGCTAAAAAAAGCAATTGCTCCACCTTACAAATTTGGATATAAAGGAGATGTAGTTTCTTTCATATGAGCAAAGTAGTCCTCTTCCAAAGTCCTGTACAGTTGTTCTCTTTGTCATTGACGCACATCTGCCCTAAGCGAAATCTGTCAGAAGGAATCAACAAGGCTCCTTGCCTCCCCTCCCAATCCCCCTTTTGGAGGCCCTTTGGCTTCAGTGTTGTCCTAAGTGAGAGTGGTGTGTACTTTTCTCCTGTCCCCTCCTCCCTCCGCGTCCTAGACACTGGCTGCCTTCTGTGCACTCCCAGGCAGCTCATCACAGAGGAATCGCAGCCTGTGGGGTTGGACTGGCCACACTCAGTCCTGAGAAGGCGAGTTGCCATGGAAAGCTGGGAGCAGGGAGGTTTGGAGAGGAGGCGGCGAGCAACATTGTCTTTGACTTGCTCTCAGTGTACCCCGCGTTGTAGATCTGCTCAGCAAGGGGCAGGATGTAAGGCCAGAGGTGCCTGGTGGGTGAGAAGTCCAGGCAGGGGCTGGGCGCCCTCTCCGAAGAGGTGGCAGCAGAGTGACCCTGAACTCCCCAGATGGGGACTCATGCCACTGGGGAAACTGAGTGGAAAGAGATGAAACCAAAAAAAAAAGCAAACAAATGAGAAGACACAGAAAACATAATTACCTTTTCCTGAAAGGTACAGGAAATAAATAAGCAATGATGAGAAACTGGAGGTGGCTAATGGAAGTGGGACAGGGGTGGGGGCTCCATTATCTTTTAAAAGCTTCCTCCAAATGCTCAGTACTAGGACCAACTAATAGAGAGAGAGATTTGAATACGGTGGTTTTGTTTTGGTTTTGTTTTTACTACGGTGCTGATGTATATGTAATGTCTAAAAAAAGTTATTTGTACATAAGTTTTTACAATACTGCAGATATCACTGGGTCTACTATCTGTAAAAAATATACATATAAATATATATATACTGTTTGTTTAAAATAGAGTATTTTTATTTCATTCCTTAACTCATCATCACAGCAGTGGTATTGCACTTCAGATGACATCTAATGACTAATTTGTACTGTATGACCTATGGGAACTTGCTCCATTTTATTCAGATTTTTCTAGTTTTCTGTTTTTACTTTGTACATTGAGCATTGCTTATTTCCTTTTAAGAAATGTACAGAACTCTGAAATGTAGAAATGAAGTGATGTTGACATACCACTTTTAAAGAAAACAAAAATGAAAATAAAAGATTATCTGAATCAATCCAAAGTATAGTTTTTTAAGATCCTCACTGGATCTCCAAACTTAATTAAGCAGACATTATTCCTGGGTTTTAATTGATTAACTGCAGTTCTTTTCTCAAAATTTTGATATCATTCTTTAAATATTTATTTAATGGGAGAGATCTATCATTCCCAGCCTTTGCATTCAACTTCTCAACTGATACTTTCTAAATTTACTGTCGCACTCTGAAGGATGTGGCAAAGGGAAGGGAGGAAAGTCAACTTTGCATGGAACATAGTGCAATCCATTTGTAGATTCAGTACCACAACAGTTCCATTTCCAACTGGTTCATGTGGAGGTAGGGAGGCTCCACTGGAAAAATAAATATTTTTGTCAAAAAAAGAAAAATCGGAATAGATTGAGGGGAAGTAATAAAGGTTCTTTAGTGAGCACTGTCAGTAAACAGCCTGCACCACCCCACTCCTACCAGGCCACTTTGCATCTCAAAGCCATGGCCTGGCTTCACCTGCACCCACCCACAGAATTGAAAGTGCTTAGAAGTTTATATCCCTCTGGATTGACTTTAGCCAGTGACTCACTGGTGCAGGAGTATAAAAGCCCAGTTAACTTGTCTGAACAAAGTCAGATATAATTTTGCTCCAGAGCTCTACTGCAAGATCAGGCAAAGGCTGGGACTTGGTTTAAAGGTGCCCCGCAGGCCGGGCACTATGGCTCACACCTGTAATCCCACCAGCACACTTTGGGAGGGCAAGGCAAGCGGATCACTTGGGCCCAGGAGTTTTGTCAGAGGCATGTGAACCAGAGCAACTCCATGTTAAATAGGAGCTGGGTAAAATGAGACTGAAACCTACTGGGCTGCATTCCCAGACGGTTAAGGCATTCTAAGTCACAGGATGAGATGGGCGTTCAGCACAAAATACAGGGCACAAAGACCTTGCTGATAAAACAGGTTGCAGTAAAGGAGCCAGCCAAAGCCCACCAAAACCAAAATAGAGACGAGGGTGACCTCTGGTCTTCCTCACTGCTACACTCCCACCAGTGCCATGACAGTTTACAAATGCCATGGCAAGGTAAGGAAGTACCCTATGTGGTCTAAAAAGGGGAGGCATGAATAATCCACCCCTTGTTTAGCATATCATCAAGAAATAACCATAAAAATGGGCAACAAGCAGCCCTCGAGGCTGCTTTGTCTATGGAGTAGTCATTCCTTTATTCCTTTGCTTTCTTAATAAACTTACTTTCACTTTGCACTGAGCACTCACCCTGAATTCTTTCTTGCATGAGATCCAAGAACCCTCTCTTGGGCTCTGGATTGGGACCCCTTCCTGTAACATATTTCTCTGTCCTGTAACAGTCTGAGACCAGCCTGGGCAACATGGCAAAACCCCATCTCTACGGAAAAAAAAATACAAAACAGCCGGTCGTGGTGATGCGTTCCTGTAGTCCCAGCTACTCAGGAAGCTGCAGTGGAGAATCACCTGAGCCAGGAAGTCGAGGCTGCAGTGAGCTGTGATCATGCCACTGCACTCCAGCCGGGGTGACAGAGAGAGACCCTGTCTCAAAACAAAACCAAAAAAAAAGGGAAAAATAAAGGAGCCCCCTATTTTGGTTTTCCCCCTTCTCTGTCCTGTTTCCCCCACTCCCTTTTTCACCTCTTGAGAGCCCTTTGTTAATAAATCACATAGATGTGAATCCACCTCTCCACTTCGAGGAAATGACCTAAGACTCATCAAACTTTAAAAAGCTTAGTATCACAACATGTTTCAAAACTGGGTTAAGAGGAAAAGTAGGCCACAGGATAAAGTCATCATCAAAAATAAGTACAAAACAAAAGGTAAGTTTTAATATACACAAACCAAAAGAAACAAACAATTTAATTATGGAAGAAGAGGCCATCACTCCCCTTAGTGGGTTATGGTTCCAGACGGGTTGGCAAATAACCCCATGTAGGAAACAGTGTGGCATTGGGCTTTGTTCTTTTGATATGGGCTTGGCACTCTCCCAGAAAACATGGGATAGAAAATGAACTGATTCTGGGGTGGAGGGAGGGCACAGGGGGACGCTGACACTAGAAGTAAAAACGTGAAGCTCTGAGAAGAGTTGATTACTCCTAGTTCCAATCACTTCAAGCCACATATTTTTACTTATACTCGTTTGGCACTGGATGAATGGAATACCTTTCTCTTTTCAAATGAGTTCTTACATGTTTTCTTACTGACCTTTATAAAATCCTAGTGCAGTAAGTGTGGTGATGGGGGAAGAAAGAGGAAAGAATAAACATTTTTCTAGAAAGTCACTAGACATCTGCCCCCAGTGAGGAAAGATGTATTTTATTGGTGATTAAGGAACATTCCACAGCATTCAATGAGCTGTTTCTGCCTCTGACCATTCTTTTCAAGAAGAGTGTGTCTGGAGAAAAAGGGTGAACATCAAATCACCTGATTTTGTTTATTAATGACTTTTTTGGCCATACCCCACCCACCTCCAACCCCTAAAAGAAAAATGGGACAGGAAAAATTACCTGAAAATGGAGCAGAGCTACTGCTTTGGGTCACTAGTCTTTACATTTTTATTTTCTTTTTGATTTTTTTCCTCTTTTTGTGAATTCGGTTTTCTCCTCAATTCTCTTTTAAGTACTAAGGACATTAAATTCCTCCACTAGTGTCCTCTGGAGTGGTTGCCACAGACACATGCCTCATTTCATGCAACAGGTGGAGGTAATTACTGCAGCTCTTACATATGTGGGGCCCAGGTGTCTCTGCCACACCCAGGACAGCTGCTAGGCCAGCATGGATGACCATGGATCCATCACTGGATCTCTTAACAATGCTCAACACAGAAAATCTTTAGGGCTACCAAGAATATGATTTTAGGTTTTAACTTCTCTTCAGATTCTTTAACTTTTTATTATAAACATTTTTAAACAACCAAGAAAGTAGAAAAAATAATACAACAAATACCTATATACTTATCAACTAGATGTAATTGTTAACACTTTGCCATAAATGCTTCATGTGTATATTCTGCAGAACCATTTCAAAGTACATCCAACCACTTTACCCCTTAATGCCTCGGGACACAGCTCCAGAGAATGAGGGTATTCTCTTCTCTAGCCACAATATAATTATCACACCTAACAATTAACATTAATTCCCTAATATCATCTATCCGTATTCTATGCTTAAATTGTTTCCATTGTCTCACAAAGGTCATCCATAGATGTTTTTATCTTTTTCTTTTTTTCTTTTTTTCTTTTTTTTTAAAGATAGTTTTGCTCCTGTTGCCTAGGCTGGAGGAGTGCAGTGGGCGATCTCGGCTCACCACAACATTCACCTCCTGGGTTCAAGCGATTCTCTTGCCTCAGCCTCCAGAGTAGCTGGGATTACAGGTGCGCGCCACCATGCTCGGCTAATTTTGTATTTTTAGTAGTGATAGGGTTTCTTCATGTTGGTCAGGCTGGTCTCAAACTCTTGACCTCAGGTGATCCACCCGCTTCGGCCTCCCAAAGTGCTGGGATTACAGGCATGAGCCACCGCGCCCGGCCCATAGTTGTTTTTTTCCAACCAGAATTTGAACAAGGATCTCACATTGCCATTTGGTTTTTATGCCCCTTAAGACTCTCAATGCAGAAAAGTTCTTCTCTATCCCCCACTTCCTGACATTGACTTTTTAAGGCAACAAATCTGATTTCTAAAAGTAAAATTGATCAATTTAGTAATATACAAAAAATGTACATGTAATTGTCAAACTGATCAGAAACCCACATCTCTGTGGCCAGAAATGGTTGCTCCCTGTAGCCAAATCTAATAGGAATGAAAATAATCAAAAGGTTGCCTGGTGACAATGCAATTAGAACAAAGGAAAACCTATCATTTGAATGTTTAAAGTGACAAGGCCTTGATAGTCTGCTATAGCCATTGTCTATTTCCACGTGTTTAACCAAACTCTGTGTGTGTGTGTGTGTGTGTGTGTTTTACCCTGCCCAGAGCCAATTTAAGTGCAAAACAGAAATTGTTTAAAAATCTTCAATTGTAAGATTTGGAAAGTTTCTTTACAACTTGCAAAGGACATGGTTATGAAGTAATTATGCCTTAGTATCAAAAATTTGCATTCTCATCCTTCATTGGTCTCAATGTATAAAACAATTAAAATGTCACAATCCAAGTCACAACCATAATTGATCAGAATATTAAGTAAAAAGGCCATAGAATCATAGCTTTTTAGCATATTTTCCCTATTTTACCTAAAAGAAAACCAAGGCAGAGAGCTACAAAGTGCTGGGGTAGCACAGCCAGCAAGTGATAGGACAGGATAGGGTGGTCTGGTTCTGGAGTCTTCACCTCCTTGCTTCACAACCTCCTACTGATGGGGTGCCTTGTCCAAATTCAAATGGCCAGTGAGTAGGGGAACCTGAGTATGCAAATATGTCCACCCCCAGACCAGTATATTCTCAGTGTGCTTTGGGGTATTTAATACTGTACTGCTATTTGGGATGCAGGAGGTTATGTATTATGGGAATACTTGTATTTAAGTGTCTTTCTTTCTTTTTCTGTTAATATTATTCCTGGCCTTTTTAACTTCTATTATATCCACAAAAAAAGAAAAGTACAATAAACAACTTTTGAAGATGCCCACACCAGACTCAAGGCTGTCCAATTTTCTTTGGAAAATTGACAGAGGGCCCTTTTCCTGATGTCAAAATGTGTTATATATGCTCACAATTCATTTTACCTTTTCTTTGAAAGCTGTGAGGTAGAATCGTTCTCATTTTACAGATGAAGAAAATGAGGAAAAGTCATCTGCATTGTGCCAGACAATGACTGCACATCAGGGTCAGAACAGCTTTGGGGGTTCTGCTGTACTTTCCATAACACCCTCCAAACCCCACATGACACAGGGCGTACAGCAGAACCCAACCCAGGTTCTACAGTCGTGAGCATGACCCACCTTCCTCCGCCAAGAGAAAGAATATCCTCTTCGCACTGGTCCCTGGGCAATTCCTTGAAATGATATCCTTTTTCTCTTCTTCCTCTTGAAACTGTGCCTCAAAGAGTTAAAGAAACCAATGACTAAAGGAAATTCCTGAGTTTGGAGGATGGCAGATAAGAAAAGAAATAACTTACGGAAACACTGAAACTCTCTCAGCTTATGAGATTAAAAGAAAAAGAAAAAAATGGCTGAAATCCGTTGGAACCAAGATGGCTAACTGGAGTCTGCACAGAACAAGCTTGCTGATGTCACAGCTTGAATTTCCACCACATTTCATATTAACTCCCCTGGAATCTGCACATGCTACCCCTGAGGCAGCATAAAGAAATAACTGGACATGCCCAAAGACTTTCCAGACCTCCCCTTTCTTTCAACCAATCACCTACTAATCTCAGAATTTACCCCCTGACATTTTCTAATAAAAATACTGCTTGGAAGCCAGCAGAGGGAGACAGATTTGAGCTTGACTCCTATCTCCCTGTGAGTTGACTTGCAATATAAAGCTTTTGTTGGCTGGGCAGAGTGGCTTACACCTGAATCCCAGCACTGGAGGCTGAAGCAGGAGGCCTGCTTGAGCCCATGTGTTGGAGGCTCCAACCTGGGTGACAGCAAGACCGTCTCTTTTTTAAAATTAAATTTTTTTCTTTTCTCAAAAACCTGGTTTTGCAGTATGGTCATCAGGCAGCAAGCTCTTTTGGCTTGGAAACACTTTTTACTTTATAAAGTACATTTTGATAACCTGTTTTTGTTTTTCTTTGGGTTTTTTTTGTTTGTTTGTTTGAGACACAGTCTTGCTGTGTCGCCCAGGCTGGAGTGCAGTAGGGCGATCTTGGTTCACTGCAAGCTCCGCCTCCCAAGTTCACGCCATTCTCCTGCCTCAGCCTCCCGAGTAGCTGCGACTACAGGCACCCGCCACCACGCCCAGCTAATTTTTTGTATTTTTAGTAGAGACAGGGTTTCACCGTGTTAGCCAGGATGGTCTCAATCTCCTGACCTCGTGATTCGCCCTCCTTGGCCTCTCAAAGTGTTGGGATTACAGGTGTGAGCCACCGCGCCCAGCCTTTTATAATCTGTTTTGTTTTGTGCTATCAGTTGATGACTCCTTTCTCTGGTTACTCTATGTGTTTGCCTGATGTCCCCTACATGCCTTCCTATCTGTTGTTTTCCTATAACCAATCAAAGGGCTCAGCTGCCTTATCAGCTTCTGTCTGAAACTTTCCATCAAGAGAGAAGCAGAGTGGCAGGTTACGTCAGTAGTCCTCAGAAAGGGCAGCACACGGGTCAGGCTGCTCTGTCCCCACACAACCGGTCATGACTTCAGCATCCATTTCTAAAACTAGGGCACAACACAATTCCACTGATGATATGGATGTACCTACCCCAAGCAAATTTCAATTCTTAAACAGGAAATGTATGCTCTAAAGGGTGTGTTTCTACAAAGCCATTTCAAGAAAAACAGAATAAAGACTTTATTTATTTTTATTTAACAAATGATACCAAATTACCTTCATGTTGGGAACAGCTTCTGCAAGCATTAAAGGGAAGAGAAAAAGTTAGAATTGCCGCCTCAGTTTCTTGGCAATATTGAGGTCCAGATATTCATCCAGAAAGCTGTTTGCAATTCCCAGGGCACCTAGGAGGGTCAACAAGGCCAAAATCCCCAGACTCAGTCGGAAACCAGTGATCCTGCAAGGTGGACATGAAAGAGAAAAGTGACAAACTGGGTTGTAATAAGGAAGCTGAGAGTCCTGAAATAGGCTGTCCTATCATTGACACTGTCCAGAACATCTATATTTTTGCAATTTGAAAATTTTGGCTCATCACATAAATTAAAGGGAATGCCTAACCATACAGATCACTTGGTTTCTTTGAACATTCAAAGCATTATCAAGGCTAGGCAGGATTTTTCCTTGGTAAATTTCTGGAGACGATGCAAAATTTTTGCAAGGAACTAGAGTCCACATTCAGTGCACAGTTTTATACTTGCATTGTCCTATCTCATGCCTAATTGTGTATGGCCTGGCAAGACTTGGCCTCGTACAGTATGTATTACTTTTGCCACCACAACTTGCAGTGCTGTTAATATCTCTCAAGAGAAGGAAACTGACCCAGACCTTATCCTGCTACTTTTTGCATAAATACAAAATTAGTGGGTTCTCCTTACCGTTTTTTAGCAGCTTCTGAATATCCCCAGAAGTATAGGTGACGGCCATATATGTACATCAGACCCAGACAAGTAGCAAAAACTATAGAGGGGGTGGGAAAAAAGAAAAGGCACAAAAGACAACAGCAGTCTCTTAAGATGTTGTATGAAGACCGAGAAAATATTCACAAAACACATATCGGACAAAATACTTATATTCAGAATACATCACTGGCAGGAATACAAAATAGTACAGCCACTTTGGGAAAAGTTCTGGTAGTTTCTTATAAAATCGAACATAACATTTGACTCAGCAATCTCATCCCTACGTATTTATCCAAGAGAAATGAAAGCATGTGTTCACAAACGGACTTGTGTAAGAATGTTCATTGCAGCTTTATTCATAATAGCCAAAAACTGGAAACAGCCCAGAAGTCTATCAACAGGAGAATGGATAACCAAGCTGTTATAGAGTCTATTCAATGGAATGCTACTCAGCAATGAAAACAAACAGATCCATGCAACACAATAATGCTGAGTGAATGAAGCATTACACAGGCTACATACTATACGATTCCAATTATATGAAGTTCTAGAATGGACAAAACTAAACGATGAAACAATCAGAAGTGCTTGCATCTGGGAGTGAGAATGGGGACTGACTGGGAGAAGCAGGAGGACACTTTCTGGGTGGTTGCCATGTTCTAGATCTTTATAGAGATTTGGACCACACAGGTGTGTGTACTTCTCAAAATTCATTGAAGATTTATGCATTTTATTACATATAAAATTTGTCTGAAAAAGAAACATGAAATACAGTACTATGATGTTCTATCATCACATCCAGTGAAACATATCATTGTCTTCTCTATGTTAGGGCTCCATTCCCTTCCTCAGCACCTCACAGATGCAAGTTGCCAGAGCCCTATTGTAAACATTTGGAGTCTGTGTGTGGGACTGTGATATGCTAGATTAAATTTATTATTTTACTTGGCCGCACTTTTTTTTTTTCTTGAGATAGGGTCTTGCTCTGTCACCCAGGCAGAAATGTGTGGCAAGATCAGGGCGCAGTACAGCCTTGACCTCCTGGGCTCATGCAATCCTCCCACCTCAGCGTCCTAAGTAGCTGGGACCACAGGTGTATGCCACCAGGCCTGGCCAATTTTTAAATTTTATTTGTAGAGAAAAGGCCTCCCTATGCTGCCCAGGCTGGTCTTGAACTCCCGGGCTCAAGCCATCCTCCTGTCTTGGCCTCCCAAAGTGCTGGGATTACAGGTGTGAGCCACCACGCCCAGCCCTATATCTACCATAAACCAGGTATTACTTTAAGGATTGAGGTTGGTTGGCAGTGAAAAAGATACAAGCTCCCTGACTTCATAGAGCACACATTCTCTCAGCAAAGACAGACAACAAAGACAAAAATGAGAAGAAAAGTGTAAACTTGAAAGTGCTGTGAAAGAAATGAAGAGACATGGGAGAGAGAGGAAGTGGAGGAGGCTGCCAAAATGGGGTAAAGGAAGGCTTCTGGAGGGGATGACATCTGTTTGGGGCCAGAGAACAGGAACAAGGGGACCAAGCAAAGATCTGGGAAGGAAGAGCTGGTAGACCCTTCCCAGGGTCTGAGGAAGCCGAAGAGTTCTGAACATGGTTCTCAGTTTTGAGACTCCCTGTCTAGGGAGTTACTCCCAGAAAGCCAATGAGAACAGTTCAGCAACAGTTAGTAGGTGACTGACTTTGGATGAGAAAGAATGAAAAGAAATTTCTGACAAGATACTCAAGAAATCCTTTCTGACAGGCATTCTGCCTCATTCAGCCTATCACAGAGAAATCCAAAGGGTCAAATGGCAGAGACAGAGTCCCATTACCAAAAGGCACTTTTCTTATTAGTTGTTAATGTGCTCTTACATGACAAGGAACAGCGGTTTCATTCATGCCCTTAAGCGACACAAATATGAGTTGGAATAAAGTGAAGAAGTCTTTCTCTAAAGGACATTGTACCTGAAATTCCTCAGTTCACAGTAAAAACTATAAGGAAGACAGTGATGGGGTTGCCTTTGAAAGCAGCTGGATTTTGGTTTATTTAAATCTTGGCAATCAAGTATAGACCAAAATGAGACAGTGAAAGTTACCAGAAAAAGGGGATTGAATTTCTCCAACGAAGGTAGCAGGGGCTGGTCTGACTCACTGTTAAACGCAGAAGCCAAGTTTAGAGAAAGCCCTCAGCTCACCAAGGATATCCCAGTCAAACAGAAAGTGGATGTTTGTAGAGTCGCTACATACAAACGGCAGCACTACATACTTGGAGACCTTTAAGAAAAGGTGCATGGGTTGTTGGCACAAATACCTACAGACCCGGCTCTGCACTTGAAAGGAAAAATTTCCCCACATTGGTGAATGTCAAGTTGGAAAAATTAATTAACATCTCTGTACCTCAGCTTCCTCATCTGTAAGGTAGAAATTAATTATAGACCCTCCCTCATATGAAGGCTTTAAATCCTGTAAATCTGACGCATGGGACAATGTATGCATAACACTTAAAAACACTACCCGGCGGCCTGGAGCGGTGGCTCACGCCTGTAATCCCAGCACTTTGGGAGGCCGAGGCGGACAGATCATGAGGTCAGGAGATTGGGACCATCCCAGCTAACACAGGGAAACCCCGTCTCTACTAAAAATACAAAAAGTTAGCCGGGCATGGTGGCAGGCGCCTGTAGTCCCAGCTACTCGGGAGGCTGAGGCAGGAGAATGGCGTGAACCCGGGAGGCGGAGCTTGCGATGAGCCGAGATCGCGCCACTGCACTCCAGCCTGGGTGACAGAGCCAGACTCCGTCTCAAAAAAAATAAATAAATAAACCAGTACCTGGCACATAATAAGGGCTCAATAAATAATAGCCACAATGACAATTATTATTATTTTCTTTTTGAGACAGGGTCTCACTCTGTCACCCATGCTGGAATGCAGTGGCGCTATCATGATTCACTGCAGCCTGAAACTCTTGGGCTTGAGAGCTCCTCCCACCTCAGCCTCCCAAGTAGCTGGGACTACATGTGTGCCCAGATAGTTTTTTAATTAAAATTTTGTAGACACAGGGTCTCCTTTGTTGCCCAGGCTGGTCTTGAATTTCTGGCCTCAAGCAATCCCTCCACTTTAGCCTCCCAAATTGCTGGGATTACAGACATAAGCTGCTGGGCCTGGCCAGCTATAATTATTAATGTGAATTGTTCATTCTGTGTTCTCTTCCTTCAATTAATTAGAATTATAGATGACCCTTGAACAACATGGGTTTGAACTGCACAGGTCCATTTATACATGAATATTTTCCAATAAATATACTGGATTGTGCAGGAGGTGGGTTTACAAAAATACACACATAAATATATTGGAAAACATTTTGGAGATTTGTGACAATTTTTGACAAAACTCACAAATGAACCACATAGCCCAGAAATACTGAAAAATTAGGAAAAGGTAGGTCACAAATGCATAAAACAGATGTAGATACTGGTCTATTTTATCATTTACTATCATAAAATATACACAAGTTTTTAAAAGCATTCAGCAGAAAGCCTATACAGATATATATATGAATTTTGTACAAAGTTAAAATTTATCAAAGCATGCAAACACAGACCATAATACATGGTGCCATTTGTAGTTGAGAGAAATGTAAACAAATGTAAAGATGCAGTATTAAATCATAACTGCATAAAATTAACTATAGTAATACTGTACTATTATAAATATTTGGTAGCCACTTCCTGTTGCTATTGCAGTGAGCTCAAGTGTTGCCAAGTATCTCCTTAAAAGGTGATGCTAATCATCTCCACCTGAGCATTTCTTCTCTCCAGCAAATTGCGTATCACCGTAAAAAGTGATCTCTCAGGGTTTTTGCCTATTTTCATCAATGTTTAGTGCAATACCATAAACATTGAATAATGCCATGAGACCCACACAGATTGCTACTAGTGGTGCTGAAAGTGCTCCCAAAAAGCAGAGAAAAGTCATGATATTAGAAGAAAAAATTGAATGGCTTAATATGTCTCATAGATTGAGGTCTGCAGCTGTGAGCTATGGTTGACCACCACTGCAAGATAAATGAATTCAGTGCAAGGACCAGTGGAAAAAAAAAGAAGAAGAAGATGAAGAAAGGAAAAAGGAAAAGATAAGAAAAGAAAAAAGAAAGAAAAGGTGATTTGTAAAGCTGTCACTTGCAGCTATACCAGCGGGGGAAAAACCTTGCACTTTTTCCAAAATATCTTTTTATCTCATATTGAAATGCAGCTTTTATGTGGGAGCAGGATTGCTATAAGAAACACATACTTGTAGACTCTAATAGGATTTGAGAAAAAGCAAAATCCTTATATGACAATTTTAAGCAAAAGGAAGATGAAGGATCTAAAGCTGAAGAATTTAATGCCAGCAAAGGATGGTTTGATAATTTTAGAAAGAAGTTTAGCTTTTAAAATATCAAGATAACAGGAGAAGCAGCTTCTACCAACCAAGAAGCAATACACAAGTTCCCAGGCACCATTAAGAAATCACTGAGGAGAAAGGATATCTGCCTGAACAGGTTTTTAACGCAAACAAAAGTGCCCTGTCCTGGGGATTAAAAAAAAAAAAAGTCACAAAGGACATGTATTAGTAAAGAAGAGAAGCAAGCTCCAGGATTTAAAGCAGGAAAGGATAGGCTAACTCTACTGTTTTGTGTAAATGCACAACAGTAGGTTTATACTCAGGATTGTACTTATCTATAAAGTTGCTAACCCCTTGAGCCTTGAAGGAAAAAGATAAACAGTACCTGCTAGTCATTTGGTTGTACAGAAAAAAAAGCTTGGACAAGAGCCTCTTCTCTGGATTGGTTCCATCAATGCTTTGTTCCTGAAGTCAGGATGGAATTACCTTCTAACATTCTTTTGATATTGGACAATGTCCCTGACCACCCAGAACCCCATGAGTTCAACGCAGAAGGCATAAAAGTAGTCTACTTGCCCCCAAATACAACATCCTTAATTCAGCCTCTAAATCAGGGGGTTATCAGGACCTTTAAGGCTCATGATACAAGGTACTCTATGGGAATGATTGTCAATGTTATGGAAGAGAACCCTGATAGAAACAGCATTATGAATGCCTAGAAGGATTACACCACTGAAGATGCTAGCATTGTTATAGGAAGGTTGTGAAAGCCATCAAACCTGAAACAATAAATTCCTGCTGAAGAACACTGTGTACAGACGTTGTGCATGATATTCACAGGATTTACAACAGAGCCAATCAAGGAAATCATGAAAGAGATAGTGGCTGTGGCAAAGAATGTGGGGGGATAAAGGGTCTCAAGATATGAATCTTGGAGAAATTCAAGAGCTAATAGACACCACGCCAGATGAATTAACAGAAGATGACTTGATAGAGACGAGTGCTCTGAACCACTGCCAGATGATAAGGAAGAAGACAGAAGAGGCAGTACCAGAAAACAAATTGACATTAGACAATCTGGCAGAAGGGTTCTGATGATTCAAGTCTGCTTTTTTACTTCTTTTATGACATGGACCCTTCTATGATACAAGCACTGAAACTAAAGGCAACAGTGGAAGAAGGATTGGTACTATATAGAAACATTTTTAGAGAAAAAAGCAAAAACGTCAGAAATATTTCTATAAATTTATACCTACTGCGCCTGCCAATTCTGTCTCCCCTTCTACCTCCTTCACCTTTTCTGATTCTGCCACCCTTGAGGCAGCAAAACCAACCCCTCTTCTTCCTCTTCCTCAGGTTACTCAACGTGAAAATTATGAGGATGAAGACCTTTATGATGGTCCACTTCCACTTAATAAATAGTAAATATTTGCTCTTCCTTATGATTTTAATAACATTTTCTTTTCTCTAGCATGCTTTATTGTAAGAATACAGTATATGATACATAAAACATGGAAAATATTTATTAGTAAACTGTACTCAGTAAGGCTTCCAGACCAATAGGATATTAGTAGTTAAGTTTTGGGGAATCAAAAGTGATATGCAGATTTTCTACTATGTGTGTGTGGGGCAGGGGGTCAGCGCCCCAACCCCTCCATTGTTCAAGAGTCAACTGTAGATTAGATTTGAAGACAAAGCTCATGTCATTTTCATCCTTGAATATCTAGCATATTGTTTGTCTCAATATTTTTTTCATTATTGAATTAAATTAGAATGAAGCCAAAGTTCATATATCTGCAACATAGCACTCTGACGCACACACTGTTTATTTTGTTTAGTCTCCAGGATTGGTAGCTATGTAGTTGCATATCTGCTCCTCTTTTTGTTTGTTTTTTTGAGATGGTCTCTGTCACCCAGGCGGGAGTGCAGTGGCACGATCTCAGCTCACTGCAGCCTCCACCTCCTGGTTCAAGTGATTCTCCTGCCTCGGCCTCCCGAGTAGCGGGGATTACAGGCATGCGCCACTACGCTCAGCTAATTTTTGTATTTTTAGTAGAGACAGGGTTTCACCATGTTGGCCAGGCTGGTCTTGAACTCCTGACCTCAGGTGATCCACCCAGCTGGACCTCCCAAAGTGCTAGGAATATAGGTATGAGCCACCATGCCTGGCCATATATCCGCTCCTTAATCATTTAAGCACCATAGTCATCATTAGAACACAGTTGACGGTATTTTAACATTACCTTGGTTGAAATACCACCCAGCCATCCACAATGTAATTATGAATATAGGATAAAACTCCACACAGTTTTGTCTGCGGAAAAAAATAAAGACATAGGTTATTTTATGAGAAAACTTTACACTGAAGCATTGATTTTTCATCTAGAGGTAAATGTTCGCCTATTTTAACAAAAGTAATATAAGAACTTACAAAAGAGTTTAAGTGACCTTTACATTTAAAATCAATCTTTCAAGGTTAAACATTGTTTAAACCTCAGAGCAGGGCCAAGAATCATTCTCCTACATATAAGTTGCCAGTAGTAGAAGTGAGTCATAGCACTTTCCCAAAAGACAGGCCTCCTGAGCCTAAAGATCATTCCATATCTTATCTGAAGAACTTAAGAGATTACTCAATTCATATTCAAGAGATTTCTTATTTTAAAAATTCCCTCACATCCATTGCCTTCCACTTGAGTTACCCAGAACATTACAAAATGGTCTTTAAATAATTCCCTTAAAAATCTCCTGAAGTAAATGAGTGAACATATTCATTCCCATTTTATGGAGGAATAAACTAAGGCCTGAGAGCCCAGACCAACATGCATTGCAGAGAATCAAAGATAGACAGCATCCATCTCTAGATTCCAAAGCTCTGTCCTAATGTCAAGTCATATTGTCTCTATTCATAGAAGACTTGGATGGAAAATCTGACACTAATTTAAGCAAAAGGGAATAGTTCTCTGGGAACTATAATTAATTCATCTGCATCTAACAAAAGGGAAAAAGATGAATTATATTCCTCCTCCCTCCTAAGGTATACCTCCCAAGTGATCTTGGTTAGGTTGGCCAAGCTCTTTGCTGACAATTTCACCACCAGAAAGAACTTTAACGTAATGTGTGATGAGGTCTTGAGTAGATCCTGGTGAAAGGTCATAGTCTACAGGATTGTAAATGATCCCATATCTTTCCTTCAGTAAGCCTCAAAGCTTGAATACTTAGTATTACAAGGCAATTGATCTAGAAATAGATGATGCTGGTTGTTGAAGACCTAGGTCTTTTAGCTTGGGTCACCATAAGTGATCTATTTTCTCTGAATTTAAAAAAAAAAAAAAAAGCATAATTACGAAGCATAATTCTTCCCTCATTCTCCATAATCCCACAGAAAATTGTGTCTAGGTCAATTCAACTTTATCAGCTTATGCCTCAACTACATGGGAAAAAACTCCCCAATAATAACTCAGTCATCTTTTAAAGCTAGGTAAGAAACATGCATAATTAACAAGTTCAGTGCTCACAGAAAGACGTGGCTGAGGTAGAGTCCTGAAGCACATATGGAAAATTTTAACCCCACCAGCAAAGACAACAGTGCGGTTACCCACACACATCTCTTAAGAGCCAGGAGAGTGACCATCAGTCCCCTAAAAAATTGGAAATGGGGCCGGGCGCGGTGGCTCAAGCCTGTAATCCCAGCACTTTGGGAGGCCAAGACGGGCGGATCACGAGGTCAGGAGATCGAGACCATCCCGGCTAACACGGTGAAACCCCGTCTCTACTAAAAAATACAAAAAATTAGCCGGGCGAGGTGGCGGGCGACTGTAGTCGCAGCTACTTGGGAGGCTGAGGCAGGAGAATGGCGTAAACCCGGGAGGCGGAGCTTGCAGTGAGCTGAGATCCGGCCACAGCACTCCAGCCTGGGTGACAGAGCGAGACTCTGTCTCCAAAAAAAAAAAAAAAAAAAATTGGAAATGGATAATATGAATGCAAAATTGCTTTCTTCTTCCTTTTTGGACTGTTGTCATTACCACCCAAAAGGCCACTAGTGACCCAAGGAATGTCTTGTCTAAAGCCTAACACTGATAATCTCACAAACCGTAACTACAACTTTCTAGAACTCACAGAAGTAAACAAAGTTTTTCCTCTGATTTTGCTTCTGATGGTTGTCTTTCCATTAACGTCTTTTTGGGTGGCGAGGATAGGGTCAGTGAAAACATACTTGATAAAATTCGTACTTTATATTACAACTATGCAAAGAATAAACAGCGTTCCCAGGTTTCTTTTTCCTTGGCTAAATCCATAGACCTGTTTCCCACGAGGTAAATGGAGTAGCAGCAGAGGAAGGCTCTAGTCCTTTCACACTCACTGAAATTTTATATGAACTTTTTTGGAAACATAACACAACTGTCCCATCATTTATTGTTTTGTATCATTTAAGCACCATAGTCATCATTAGAACACAGAAGGCGATGTATTAGTAAAGAAGAGAAGCAAGCTCCAGGATTTAAAGCAGGAAAGGATAGGCTAACTCTACTGTTTTGTGTAAATGCACAACAGTAGGTTTAAAATAGCCCAGGTTAGCCTTCATAAAAGTCTAATTACTTAGAGGTTTTTCTAGTGTCCTTGGCTTGGCATCTGGGAACAAAGAGATAATATTGTATAAGAATGTCCTAACTATGTAGAAACCACACTGCAGATGGCAGAAGCTCTTTGCGTGTCTGTCCACATTAGTTGATAGGCATGTGTGCTTTTGTGTCTCTTATCTGAAAGAGGAAGAAGGCCTTTGAGCAAGGAGAAAGGAAATAAAAATAGAGGGGATGTTTTGGAGTTCCCCCTGCTGCCCCCACAAGCTAGAGAACTAGTTTCACACCTAATGGGAAACCAGAGACCAGAACAGACGCTGACAGATCGTCCTCATGAAAAGCTTGGTGAGATTCCAGACACAAGCGGTGCCATGCCTCAGATGACAGAAGAGACAAAGTCAGGGAGAGTCACACCCTTAATCTCCCTCTGCCACAGACCCAGAGCAGCTCCTGGCGGTGGTGGAAGGCACTCCAGAACCTGGGGAGGGTACTGTACTCACAGAGGACTGGGGAGCAGGACAGTGGCACAGCCCCTCCCTTCAATTGCTTGCCAGCGGGAGCTGTGTTCCTGGGCACATCCCCTGTATTCCCAGAAGGAATTGGGAAGATGCGGAACGGGGGTGCTGGGATCCTGGGTGAGCAGCAGGTGGCTAGAAGTCATTGAGATTTAGGCAAGGATGTGATTGCAACTGCATTTGTGCTCACAGATGGCAACACCTGGAGTACTGGAGCAGCTTAGCACCATATCTCTGCACCTTTCTTTCTCAAGAAATAGGCCCTTTGTCCCCTACAAGTGGCTGGTCACTGCTGAGCTCACCCCAACCTCACGTTCCAGTGTGCTCATTGTATTTTCACCCTGGTCCCTCTTTTGCTGACCTGCCTCAAGCCTTAGTCCCTCGGAAATAAGACTTTGCCCATTTCTTCCTATCATCTCTCAGAGATTGAAAATAATTATGTGACCGCCAGTTGGGTGCCCTGTTTGTTGCTGACAGTCTTCCCTGCTGCCTGCCTGGTGAAAGCACCAAGTATTGCTTGGCCTTGAAATACCTGGAATCCCATTCTACCTGCTAATTGTCACCTCCTCCAGTCCCTCCGCCATGTGACCGCATCCTTCTGCCTGATTCTGGGTCCCTCCAGGCCTGGATGGTATCCCCACAATAACACGTCCTCAGTAAGCTGTCAGCAGGCATGTTTAACTCAAGGGGACCAAACTCTGAAAATTACTTCTTGACAATCCTGTCAGTGGCTAATTAGTTTCACTGACACGAAAACCAACATGAAAATAATGTACAGCCTCTTTTAAGTCATGAAGGCAGATATATTCTATCCTCTTATTACAGGAGATCCTCAGGAAAATTTCCCAAATGGAACAGCAAACAGCCTGCAGCAGCTGTCAGTTTCCCTGCCTGTGACAACAGGGGGTATGGTTGATTATGACCACTGTCTCCTCTCCTGCAAGTCCATACTGGAGAAACAGGCTGTCCATGGGAAAACAGGCTATCTACTCATTCCCTGGTGAGAGCCCTCTTTGAACAATCCCATGCTCCTTTGATATCGAAGCTTCCCATGAAAGCGATCTTCATTTGTCTGGGACTGAGGAATTTAGGGGGACATGGAGCTTTAAGTGCTAAAACTGGGTAAGATCCAGAAGCACTGGAAAGAGTTGGTCACTCTAAGGGACAGTCCAGTGGGCACTGTGGAGATTGAGTAGTTAAAGCTGCTGAGACCCCTTGTTGTCCATCTCAATACCATGGAGCCTGGGTCCTGGGGGCTCAGGACTACTGTGCATTCCCACCTGGATCTGGTAGCCAGGAGCAGTGAGGATGGCCCCAAACTAAGTGCTATTTGGGCCTTGTCTCAGTCATTAAGTATACTACAAAGTTTATGTTATTTGGGGGTGGGGAAAAGAATCAAATTGTGGCCTGGCAGCTCCAAATCTGGCAGTTCCTTCAACACTACTCTCCAAACTTTTCTGATTGCATAGCCCTAACAGTTGCACAGACCCATAAAAATATGCACACATCCTCCTGTAGCAGAGGAGGCCCTCACAGGACCGTACTTGAGCAGGACATGAACTTCCACTGTGTTAAACCATGGAAAATCTGGGATTTATCTATTAGCACAGCTAATACATTCAACTGGAAAAGAATATCATATTCATTATAAAACAAACATAAAAATTAAAGGATGGAGGGCCAGGAAGCTGGTTCATGCCTATAATCCTGGGCCTTTGGGAGGCAGAGGCAGGAGGATCATTTGAGCCAGGAGTTTGAGACCAGCCTGGGCAACACAGTGAGACCTCATCTCTATAAAAACATAAAAATTTTTTTAAAAAATTTAGGGCCAGGAGCGGTGGCTCATGCTTGTAATCCTAGCACTTCGGGAGGCCGAGGCAGGTGCATCACTTGACGTCAGGAGTTCAAGACCAACCTGGCCAATATGGTGAAACCTTGACTCTATTAAAAATACAAAAAGTAGCCGAGCATGGTGGCACGTGCCTGTAGTCCCAGCTACTCAGGAGGCTGAGGCAGAAGAATCGCTTGAACCCAGGAGGCGGAGATTGCAGTGAGCCAAGATCACACCACTGCACTCCAGCCTGGGCAACAGAGCAAGGCTCTGTCTCAAAAAAAAATTTTTTTAATTAAAGGATAGGATTTTAAGAATCAGTATAAACAGATGCTCCAATATTTTCCTCACCCTCCCAGTGGATTACTTAGTGTATTCCTTCAATGTGGGC